TCGCATAGCCAGTATTTTTATTGCTTCTGTCCTCCGCCGTAGATTTGCGTCGTACTGACAAGCTCCCATAAGAGCGGAACAATATCGTCCGCGATTGGTTGCGGTGAAAGTGGCTAAGCTTAAAGAATTTCCTAAATTACTTGAAATATGAGGGGTAAACATCATAAAGCTGAACCTCAACCCGCTTACATCAAAAGTAGATATGACCACGTTCTCATAAAGAATATATGGCGCTGCGTAAGATACAAAAATATCCGTTTCTTACTCCATCTTCATACTATACATCATATTTCTCATAATGTGACATCACGTAGCAAATGACGACATGAGGTACAGGTACAGATGTTTCAATATAATTTTCACTTTCCACCAAAATGCAAGACAAAGGTATTTAATCTGTAGGTAGTTAAGCATAGTCATATGATGAAACTATTTAGTATCTACACAAATTAAAACAGAATTATTTGTGTTATCATGGAATAAGATCTCTAGGAGACAACACTAGAAATGCTTATGGATGTTGTCGGCTCATCAAAAGTCCCTACCTTCTTATAAATTGCTTACAAGCTTGAACAATTCCAAAAACAATAAATTTCATTGCCGTTTTATCTACTACAATAATGCTTTTACACTAAAAAACTGGAGACATTAGCATTAATCCCACATTTGACAAAATGGACTTTTAAATAATGGACGCTGCTTATCTGGAAGAAAATATAATTACTCACATTTTATTACACGAAAATCGTTTTGTTAATGGCTATCCGAGTTTTCATTAATAATGTTGTGGAATGTCTTGGAAAAACTGTGGATTTTGTAATACTTGATCAATATGATACTCCAGGCAGATATCTGCTAAAAAGCCCCGTAAGTGATGTTATCTATTGGAGGTGTTGCAGGGCCCCTTGTATAACAAAAATCTCGATATACACCAGTCTGCCCAGGGGCAAAAAGTGCTTGAAAAAAATAAAATCGCGATTTTTTGCTTTTTTCCTCCCACTTGTTGTGATATTTCAATTGTGATATTGTTAAAACAACGTTTATACTCATTTTGAATAGATACATATGACCTAGGTATTTTTTTTGTGTGTGGTATTGACATCGTAAATCAACAATGAATAAAAATGAGTGGACGAAAACGCGAGCAAAAGTTTGATGTATTGTTCTTTGTTTAATTTGAATCGAAGCAGCTGCTTGTGCTTCCAGATTTGTGTTTCTCATCGTGTTGGTATGGAAAATTGCAGTTAGATCTGTCTAATGATTTGTGAAAAAAAAATTATTGCATTGAACGGCATCCCGATAGTTTGCAAGGTTTGCTGTTTCGTAGCAAATGCTTCCAATGTCCTGCTGATTTTTTATCATATTCCATCAAAAGTGCGGTTTTAGGAATCTGTGTAGGGGAGTGCAGCAGTGGTCGCAGCATTGATGTTTAGGGAAATGTTCATCTCGGGGGTCGGGGTAGGGTCGATTATTGATAATTGATGAGCATGATACAACAATATATTCCATTTCCTTAAAGAAGTTGGCAAAATTGAGCATCTAGGAGGGGTACCGCCCTTGCCACTCTCCAAGTCCGCCCTTTTTCCCTCAGTGCGCTACCTTTGACTTTGACAATCAAAAATCATATATTCATTATGGTACTTCTACAAGGTGGTCCTAACGTGCTTCCAGGCCAAAACGTTTGAGAGAACACGGCTCGTGGATTATTATGCATGATATTAACATGGTTTTCAGTGATGATATGCAGCATCCGAAATACATAATATTCCATTTTCAAAATATCGCGATTACAATTCTTCCTTGCTAGTAGGCGTGGGAGCTAAATCCAAGCAAAATAGAAATTCATTTCTAGAATTCCTACCTATTGCATAATATTTCATGTCCACGGTCCACGTGTTGTGCGTCCCCAAAACAAGTGCCTGTTGGAGATCTGCCAGGAAAGCGCCCGGAATAATTTTTATCGTCTAGTAACCTAGACGGCGGATAGTCCGGGCGGGTCACTGAAACATTCCACATTTTTGTGTGCCATGGATATTTCTGATTCAGCCAGTTTCCAATAATGGAAATTCGGGTACGGAATAATCAATCCGTTAAATTAGGTGGGGGTTAGTAGGAGAACGATCTTATATCTAGAGTTGTGAAGGACTCAAATATGTTCATTGCCTTTTGACGCATGTATAACATCAAACCTTCAGGCTGGTGGAACATGTTACCAGAGGGTTCACCCTCAGCATGAGTACTGGCATCTTGCTTTTGGATGTCTCAAAAGCTTTTGACAAGGTGTGGTACGCGGCCCTCCTTTATACACTAATCCAAAAGGGTTTTCCTGTTTGGCTTCTAAAATTACTCAAATCCGTTCTTGAAGGAAGGAAGTTTCAGCTCAAAATTAACAACGTTTTGTGAACAACACGGCCAGTGCGGGCCGGTGTTCCTCAGGGTTCGGTCCTAGGACCAATCCTTTATTCGTTTTTTAGCCATGCATGATGTCCCTTGCCCCAGCAACTATGAAGTCTACCTCTATGCTGACGACACTGTGCTTGTCGTCCAGTCGTGTACTGATGATCTGGTTCACGATGGGTTGCAGAGTGTGGTGGAAGAAGTACTAGAGTGGGCGGAACGGTGGCTGATTAAAATTAATCATTCGAAAACGCAGGCTATTTATTGTACCAAAAAACATCGCGGTCCCCCAGCAGAGGTTTCTGTAGACGGCAATCGTGTACCTTGGACAAATGCTGCCAATTACCTCGCTGTCACCCTTGATAAAGGCATGACCTGGCAAAAACATACAGCAGCCTTGAAAACAAAATTCCAAATTGCGTTTCGGCAATTATGTCCTTTGTTATATAGATCCTCCAAATTGGGTTTGATAAACAAAGTTCGCATATATAAAACGATTATTAGATCAGCCATTACTTATGCATGTGCGGCTTGGTGTTTTCTTGCCATGACACACATGCAAAGTCTTCAAGTACTGTAAGGTAGAATTTTGCGAACAATTTGCAACGCTCTATGGTATGTCTCAAACGAGACACTACACAGAGACCTTGACATTCCTTACTTGAGGGATTATGTCAAGCTCCAGGCGCAGCGACGTTATAGTCAAGCGGAATCGCACAGAAACCCTCTGTTGCGCGACTCAGTAGACTACACATTGGAGCAAGTTCGTAAACATTCAAGGCCACGGCTCGCACTGTAATAAAAAATTAGCGCGAACTAGTAAACTTAAAATACATATACATTCTAAGAGAACCGAATCAAAATTTGTTTAGTTCACCTAAAAATTAATCCCTGTACCGTCAAAAAGCCTAAGTGTTGTCTCTTAAACTGAACACTTCTGTTTTTCTTTGCTCTTCTCCTTTTTTCTTCTCTTTCCCTTTCTCCTTTTCCTTGACATTGTCTGGTCTCTGGGCAACCAGGACTGACAGGTTCGACTAACGTACATTAGACAGCGACTAATGGGCAAAGGTCGTACGGACCGCCCAGACAAGCAAATGACGAATAGTAACATCAAACTTCATGTATTGAAGTAGATAACTACTCATAAAAATACAGAGTGTCCTGAAAGTTAGCATTTTTCTTTACAGGGCGTATATGTCACGCGATTATGAGCAAGTTTTCCTTGTAATACATATACCAAATCTTCAAGATAACCAGGACACTAAAAACTCTAAATAAGCCATTCCGACTCTGTCTCGCTCCTCTCCTACGTCAAAAGATATGACGTTTTGTGGTACCTACTATGACTATGTCAGTCAGTATCCAAGTCGGCACGGGTATTACGTATCCTGAAAAATGAGGTTATGTCGACATTATATTGGTATTTCTTGACATTTTCTAGGTTTTTCTACAAGAGTTTAACTTAGCACTTAGTTGTAAGTGTTTCCTAAACGTCATGAGGCTTCAGTTATCAATGTTTGGCTCTGATGTGATGTAAAATCTGCTTCAGAGATGGCATTACTGGTGGTCTAAGCTGTAAGTTGTATGTTGTGTTGATGATAATTCCATTGGATTCTTGTCTCAAATACACTTAATTGAGATTCAAAGCTAGAAATTAGTTGCGCATCCACCTTTTCTCATCAATTCTGGAAATTACATATGCTAATTTGCTGAATTTCAAAAATGAGAGAGATAAGAAATAATTATATTCACTGTACACTGTCGAATTATATGCCATATATACTAACAGTAATTACACACAACGCGGGTGCGGTGATGATTTCCCTTAATTATCCTCAAAGTTTTTCGTAATTTATAACTTTGAACATAACTTGTCTTTAGAAGGGACAACAAATAAATAACCCGTCAGGCACAGCTAATAGATATACTTCATTGGAAGCATATTTAGTAATGATTTTCTCACACAGCAAATATCACTGATTTTATACACATGCAGACCAATACACATAATCATCTAGATGCGATCTTGCTATTCAACCAAATTTCTTCTCAGATATAATAACTACAGACACAGACCACTCGGCCTCACAAAACATATGCAACATGCAAACAACAATGCGTGTAGTTTAGTTGAGTGATTCCTCCGTAGATGGACGTCCACAATGATCCTAGTAAGCAAACGTAGAATGACAGTTGGCGCCCTAAAAACAGGTGCGAGATGACATCTTCTACGTTTTTTCTTTGACGTTTTATAGGTTTTTTACATAATACCCGTGCCGGTGTCTGGCGATGTGTAGGTTAGCGTAGTTTATAAGCAAACGCATTTGAAAACCGAATATTTCTCGTTCCTACAGCAATGAAGTAGTTATCAATGCGAGATTAGGTTACTGTGATCTTGCTGATCCACCGCGAATGTATTCAAGTATTCAGAACTTCGTCGTCATCCTCAATATTCCAACCAGAGCTGTACAGATTTGTTTATATCGCAATAGTCGTCTAGGGGACACCGTAGAAGACCTAGACAGCCCCACCAGATGCTGCAAATTTTGGAAAGAAATGAACAAACCTGTATTTTCCATTCGTTATTACATCAAAACATATGTCATCGCAGTACTTGAAATGCCGTACGAAATAAGTAGTGAGTATTTTTCTTCAATTTTCTGTTTTTTCTGTTTAACCGCAAATTAACTTTATTCTTTTGTGCGTGGTTGTTCCTGAAAAGGAATTTCCCAATTTTCAGGACACCCTACATAGCGACATGTCTGATCACGCCCGAATATGTGCCATATGTCCAAACCGCTTCCACAAATGGCTTAGTCAGAGACTTCCACTTGGTCTCCAAGCAAGATTAGAACTTGGAAAAAGTAAAGAATTAGTTAGAAGGTCTATAATGGTATTGCTCTATGGGAGAGCTTAGATTATACCAAAATAGATTCCGGCCGTCCGGGGCAGCGGCTGGCTCTAATTAAACTCAATATGAAATATCAGCATTACAGCCCACTTTGTTTCTGCAGCGGCATAAACTATAGTTTTGGCATCCTCATAGAATAGTCACATTACAAGAAACCAGAATAATATAGAAATCTTGATTTAAGTTATTCTGATAGATACGTATGAATAAATTGGCATACACTTACCGGAGAATCATACTGCGCATCGTAGTTTCTAACGGTATTAAATAGCCTAAGCAAAACCAAAGAGAGAGAGATCAACTAGCCAAAAAAAGTAAATAAGTATATAAGAGCATCGCGTACAATTTGCTGGTAGATCCTCCTCTTAAGATCACCTTACGTATTCACTCGCCACTGGTCCCACCTATCCTGATCCCACAAAACTTTCGATTCAAGAAGACGTTACTTCATTGGTTATTCGCCAACTTGGCGAATGAGGACCCAAATGAATATCCTCCCGGAAAGAAGTAAGATGCAGAGACTCTACAAGCTGCCACTAGTTAATCATAGACCTTAAAATCACGTATCCAGTGCTCTTACCAACGACATTACTCTATACGCAGTTATTGGGCATTTGGTGGACAATCCTCTTAAGATCAGTTCAGGTGCCGTTGATCCGCCAGTGGTCTCTAAAAGCTTCTAACTTATCCAGACTCTAGTTTGTTCGCAGTTATTGACCATATTGGTGAATATGGACCGAAATATCTATTGTACCGGAAAGAGAAAAAATTTAAGCTTTATAGCCTGCTACTAGTGGATCCTCCCGCTAAGATAAGTCCGCGTATCCATAACCACCACTGCTGAAACCTATCCTGACTTTGCAAAGGTCCCATCTTAACCGAAGGACAGTTTTTTCGCAATTATTGACCAACTTTGCAAACGTAGAGCGAGGTATCGATTGTGCCAGAAAGTCAGAAAGAAAGAAAACTACAACCTGCCTCTAGTGGATCACTTCCTTAAGATCACTTCAAATAGCAATTATCCGCCAGTGCTAGGACGCCGCAAGACTTCCAACATAGCCAGACATTGGTTTGTCCTCAATAATTAGCCAATTGATGGATATGTACTGAGATATACATCGTCCTGGAAAAGAGAAAGCAGAGTCCTTATGTCCTGTTGATGTTGGATCACTCCCTTAAGACCACTTCACGTATCCATTTTCCGCCAGTGCTTCCAACTTGATCAGCCATTAGCTTGTCTGCAGTTATTGCCTAATTGGTGAATATGTACCGAAATATCTATCGTGCTGCGATAAAAGACCCCTTAAGATTATTTCACGTACTCGTTACCCGCCAATGCTCTCACCTATCCTGACCTCGCAAAACTTCCAACTTAACCAGACATTAGTTTGTCCGCAGTTATTGGCTAACTTTGCGGATGTGGACCGAAATATCTATTGTCCCAGAAGGAAAAAAAGACGCCGACACTTTACAACCTGCCGACGCCGGTGACGCCATTGCCGACATCGCGGCGCGTCGGCGTCACGGGTTGAATAACACCTACCAAACAGGAAAATAGATAAATTTTCGGGTTACGTAACGTACGTGCACGTATGTGGCATGCGGCGACAACAACCCCTAGTCCGAGAGACCGCCTAGTGATCACTACCCATCATATAAAGCTTTTATACGATTTTGAAGCCGGGATCAACTGAAGACATTCTACGTCATGTCATGCAATTGCAGCCTAAGCTGATCCGGTGAATGGTCTTCTCATTTCAAATGGTTGACTAAACAAAGAGACTTTGCAGATGGACAACTGACTTTTTTCCGGTCGTAAGATATGTAATCACTATTTGTTGTAACTAAAGATAACATTTCGCGTTTAGTAGATATGTGTCGCAATCGATTAGTTCTCTTCTTCATCTTACAATGTCTACTTGGGTATGCTCCAAGGAGTACCTTCGCAAGCGGTGCCTTATACGGTAGCATTTAGGATGTCGATCCCTTTAGTCTTGGGGTCTCCGTCTACTTGACAACTGTCCCACCAATTACCATGGCTCTCGCAGGAATTTTCCCCAGTAGGGCCAATACAAGTATAAGAATGTGCCCTCAAAATTCTTTAAAAAAAGCCTCTCTAGAGAATGCCGTGGGAAGCATAAATCTCCAAAGCATTTTGGAGAGCGGGAGGAGGCAAGTGTTCCCTATGGTGGCCAAATCTTGAAGCTTCTACCAGAGAGGTATTGTGGTTCACGAAAACTTATGCTTTTAATATTGATTGAGTGTTATATTAAATGATGCTAACATATTTCTGATCACCTCTGAAGAAAGTATCTCTTAGAGACGCGACGCGTGCTTTATTAGCTGTTAGCTATTGTTAGAACGTGTCACAGTGTCAGTAGCGGAAGTCCTACGAAACCTAACGTATCCAATTTTGACAGGCACGCACAACATTGTACCATAACTATCGAGCGACAAGCACAAGTCCGTTTTTGAGGATAGCCAAGCTTTGTCAGGAAGTCGTTATCTTTAACCCGTTAGAGTTAAGATCCCTAGGAACATTATTTAGCATGAACACGTTCAAACCACAATATCCATTTTTCGGTAGCTGGAGCTATCTGGCTAACGAATCGCACTTTCTATTACGAATATGCTAGCTGACTTTGCTCTTCTGAGGTCAACCCCATGATGACGCCGCATCCTAACTTTTTTGACAGTTCTGTCAATGATTTATTTTTGTCAAAATTTATTTATAGCACGCTGACTGGTGCGACCGTTGTTTGAACTCTAGAATGGGAAATTTGGAAGAATCTCTTGCCACTTCAGTCAATCCAAAACTCCTTACTTCTTTGTAGCAGTCACAGTCCGCCATTTAGCCTCTAAGCAAAGTAAATGTGCTAAAGTCACAATGACAGCACTCGGTAAGTTTGAGACTCAATCAGTTCTAAAGTTCATGCTTTTCAAATGAAGTGGCCCACGTATCAAAGTGCCAACACTGTAACTTATCCATCCATCCGCGACGTCGCGTCGTCCGACCGGCGTCCACCCGGAGGCGTCGCGGCGCTTTTCGCATGCACCCACTCACCGGAGTGGGGTTCAGTCAGTGTGCCGTCCGTCGTCTATCGACCCGGATCCGTCTCTGTGTCGCCGTCGCTGCCGTCCCGACGACGCCACTTGATCGAGAAAATCGCCGCCGACGGCACGCGACGCACCGATGCATCGCCGCCACCCATGAATAACCTACTGCTCTGCTTAT